ATGGTAATACACATACACATATATCTGTAGTAGTCTCATCTCATCCACTAGTTTGAAATTAAGTTGCATGTGGACGATTAACGGTGTTTGTCTCCGACGGTCTTACCGTTATGTAGGCGTGATTAAAACCCTATCACGTTATAATGCTTAATTTTAGTTTCGATCCAATCTTCGCACCAGTATTAATCGGCTAAAGAAATTAAACTATATCAACCATACTCTATATATTATTTAGGAGATACTAAGCGAAAAATCTTATGTATCACTCAATAAAAATTTTAAGTGACACATTAATTAAATTAACCAATCAAAATATTCCAATTAGTTTTATATGATATGTTAGAAATCTCTACATATTTACATTAATTTTCTAACATAACTCACAAATACATATATGATTAATTTAAATCCAACTAAAATATAACGTTTTAATATTTAAACGTTATATAACATCATGGTTTAACGATAAATCATTTACCGATATTAATTACTTTTAAAAATCTGTATTTATGTCCGTTTAGATACCAAATGTGATTGATCATACAATTATTTTCTTTTATATCGTTTAATTGTATATGTATTACTCTTATTAAAGTTGTGCTTTTGTTATAAACATACAACTTTACAAATTAAACATTAATATATGAATTTCAAAAATCATCATTTTCCCTTTTTATTATTTCTTTGATTTTGACTAACGCAATATTTTTTGGATTTGGTGAACTCAAATAAGTTTGAAACAATCCATAATCTCAAACGTATTCGGTTTACATTAAAAACGCTTACATTTAATATAACTGTCATGCTTATTAAAATTTATAAGATAAAATATATTTTTCTATATAGAACATATACCATTTAATTTTTTTTTTAAATTCTATATATTTTAAAAACAAATATAATTTTTTATTTTTAAATATTATAATCTCGGCGGGACATAAAAACTAGTTTGTCTTTAAATTATGAAATCTACCTAACGATTCTATATGGAAGGTTTATTTTATACCATTTTCCGAAATGGGCAACTAGTCCTCTTTGTTTTTTTCTTTTCAACTTGCAATAGTATTATTAATTAGATGATTAATGGTAAGTAGTGTCTATGTGGCAATCAATAATAACTCAATCGTAAGATTTACAATTCCATATATAGTCGACGGTCGATCCAATAAAAATGTAGAAATAAACATCAACCATGCATATTATGAAGCAATATTAGATTAGTGTCTAAAATTTCAATTTGCGTGACATGTGGTTAGAGAGGTTGGAATTAATCACGTTGTTGGATTCGATTAATAAATGGTGTGGATGAGGTGTGTTTTGTCGTTTCTTGTATTCAACTTGCGGGTTAGATTTTACTTTAAAGTTGCTAGATTGAATTGTTTTCTTTAACAAGGAAGATAAAATAAAAAAGTGAATGATCAGCCACCTAATTATTACTTAATAGAGGTAATAATAGTTTTTTTTTCAATAATAGTAGATTGCTTGATTGTTTATGCGATGTTATGAATTAAGGCCTTATTAGCGGACCCCATGCTTCCATATTTTGATTCCAAATTATAATTTGTTGGGTGTTTAAAATGAATTTTCTTTTGTAGTGATTAGAAAATAGTAAAAGCTGGTAGTTGATAGATGGCCTTGAATTGAATGGTTGGGCTAACGAATCTAAGTAATGAGTTGGATATTTTTGTTTTAATGAAATGATAATACCGAATTTTGTCAATACTCTAAATGTTGGATCGATAATGAAAACATTCAATTTAGAGATAGAAAGAAAGTGCGGTAGATACGTCGATGTAATAGTTTTCATAAATTTGTAATAGAACAACAATAAAAATGCAGTGTT